CTCTTTTAAAAAATAATTTTATCGGGGCCGGGGAGATGGCTCAGTGCAATAAGTGCTTCCTCGGCAAGCACAAGGGCCTGAATTCAATCCCCAGTTCTGCAAAATAAATAATTAATTAATTTATCTTTGAGAGAGGATCTAAGTTTCCTGGGCTGGCAAACTTCTTCCTGCCTCAGCCTCTGAGGGCAAAGAAAAGAACAATTCTCTCTCTCTTTTTTTTTTTTTTTGGCGGAACCGGGGATTGAACTCAGGCCCTTGCGCTTGCTAGGGAAGTGCTTATTCCACTGAGCCATCTCCCTGGCCTGAAAGGAACAATCCTCAAAAGCAGTTTGGCAGAAAAATCTCCAATCAAAAAGGCTTCTTAAATAATGATCTATGAGGGCGGCCAAATAGCTCAGCAGATTAAAGAGCCTGCAAGCAGGTACAGGGGGCAGGAGTTCGATCCTGGGGATTGTCATGCCAGTCCCGCCCCTGGAGTGCACTGAGACAGCAATTGAGACTGGGCATGCTGGTGTGGGCCTGTAATCCCAGCTCTTAGAAGAGCTGTGAACAGGCATATCACTGAGTCTGATCTAGTAGTGAGACCCTGAACACCCTGCAGACCCATCCCTAAAATTAAAAAAAAAAAAAAAAAAAATCTATACAGACATTAACAATGAGGTTATAAACTGTGTTTAGTGGCCCACACTTGTAATCCCAGTACCGCTAGCACTCAGAATGAGGCAGGAGGATCACTGTGAGTTGAGGCCAGCCTGCACCTACATACTGAGACTCTCAAAAAACGATATTGAAAACCAACCATTTAAGTTGTAAAATACTGAACTGACAGAGATAAAGACACTGTATTAATTTTAAAAACATAGTCAGGCATCCTAGATTTTGGGAAACAGGCCAAAGGATGGGAAGTTCCAGCCCAGCCCAGCCCAGCCCAGGCAACTGAGCAAGATCTTTTTTCAAAATAAAGAAGAAATAGAGATACAGCTCAGTGTGAAGGCCCCTAATTTTCAGTACCAACAGTCGGGGTGGGGAAGACCAAGACAACATACACATGAATCAAAGTTTGAAAAAAAAAAAAAAAAAAAAAAGGATAAAATAAAACACCTTGGCAGACAACTCACCCAAAATGTATAGAGGCAGGATGTATGTGTGATTTCTTCTTTTTACAAGTGTGTATGTGCTGTCTTTCTGGCTTACCTGCATCTAATTTTTCTCGAACAAAGATACTGATTTATACAATGGAAACAGACAATTGGTTGCTATGCAACCAATCAGCATATCCAATTGAGTTCAAAATTGTATCAGTAAACAATAGATGCTGGGAGGGGGGGCAAAAAGGCATAAGCTACAGAAAATCCAATTTCTTCTCCCAGCGAACTAAGACTATGAAACACTATTCTTAGTAAAGACTGTATGAAACCTCATAATCTAGTATGTTGGCGTCAGCAGGCTGTTTACTACTAAAAGCTTAAGAGGTTCACCATCACTGGTCTAGCACATACTACATTCACAGGGTACCTAGATTTTTTTTTTTAACCGTAGGAAAAAACTACTTGGTTAACTTCGAATGACAAATTTTAACAGTTGTCCCTAGATGCAGGTGCTCAAGGTAACACATCATGTCTATTTAATGAGAACTTCATAAGAAAGAGCAGATATTACCAATTTTGGAACACAACTAAATTTGGTCTACATTTTGCTACTACTGGGTGTGGTAGTGCACTCCTCTAATACCAGCACTAAGGCGGAGGCAGAAGGGTCACTGTATTCAAGGCCAGCATGAACTACATGAGATACTGCCTCAAAAAAAAAACTAAGACAGTCTTGCTACCACTACATGTGAGTACCTTCTCACCTTATGAACAATACCAATAATTTCTGTGATGTACTTGGCATGTTCCAGCACTGCCAATTTACTTTCAACAGCCTGGCATGGTGGTACTCACCCTATGATCCCAGCACTTAAGAGGAGGTGGAGGAAGACCACTGCAAGTTTGAGGGGAGCCTGAGTACACAGTGAGTTCAACGACAGTCTGAACTGTCTCAAAAATGAAACAAAAAAAGCCAAAATAATTTATTCTCAACAAAATAAGTTCATACAAAATGTTTCATAGGACTGGAAATGCACTTCATTGCTAAGATTAGTTCACTTAGCATAGATGAGGCCCTGGGTTCAACCCCAGCATAAAAAACACCCCCCCCCCAAAAAAACCACCAAACATCCTTGCCTATAAAACTGCTGAACTTGACAGTGACAGTCATTATTATTTTAAAATGCTAGGTCTCTTATTCCCACTATGAGACTACAACAATTTAAAAGTTGTTTTTGAACTTAGAAAAAGTTGAATTGTTATTTATGATCCCTCCTCCCCATGAGCAAACCTGTAGTTTGTAAGGAACAGAGACAGTAGCCTGGACTCTCGTACTATGGCCAGTAAAACACAAGAAGCTAAACAAAAGTGTTAACTGGGGTCTTATTCTAGTCCCAATACAAAATACAAACACCATTATCCATACTAAAAGCCTGTGACTTTGAAATCAAGGGTCAACTATGGGATACATAATCCGGTATTTCATTCAAACCAGAACAGTGCATTCCATGAAACAGTGGGATTTTCCTGTTTCCCCAATGACAGAAGTCTGCAGGGCCCAGAGATCAATCCTACCTAACAGCCAACAGATCAATGATTTCTGTGGCTTAAACAAATTTAAACTACATCATGCAAAAGGTGTGGTGTGACTAGCTGATTTAATTTAAATGGGCCATCTTGGAACTTTTCATTTGCCTTTTAAAGATGATGTCTTTCTTTTTTTTTTTCCTGGCGGAACCAGGGACTGAACTCAAGCCCTTGAGCTTATTCTACTGAGCCATCTCCCTGGCCCCAAGATGATGTCTTTGTGCAAAAGTACTTTCAAACTCCACGTGACTTTTTTTCTTTAAATCTACAGCATTTCTTTCTGAGAAGTTTTAGGTAAAGCTGTCCCACAGACAAGGCAACCTAATTGTCAGAGGACTTCCTCCCACCAGCCCCACCATCTTGGCTGCATCTCAGGCCACTTTCCCTCTAACCAGCACGTGCTCCAGGGCTAATTTTTCCCAAGTAGTGACTACTTCCTGTCTGTGCATACTATAATCAAATATTTAATAAGCCAACGAGTTCTCAGAAGTCAGTGATGTCCAACGCAGTGTCCACTAACTAACCACTTGTTGCTTTGGGATACTCCAAATGTATGTAAAATAACCCACATTTTTTTTTTACTTTTTAGACACACGTGTCTGGCCCATTTTTGACGAGAGTTGGAAAAATTAACACCAGCATATGCACACACTTTTAAAAACAATGTTAATTCATATATTATACAAAACACCACGCAAGCCTGCTATATTCCCTAGAGAACAAAAATCTATGAACACTGTAATGGGCCTTTAGACTGAGCAAAGAGGGAGCACGCTAAGAAAGGGCTCAGCACCTGGCTACACCCTCAGCCCCAAATTTTGATTTTGAAGCATTCTGAAGACCCACGTGTGTACTTTTCTTATGTGAAATTTGGCTACACCTAGTCACCCCCCCCCCTTTTACTGATTTGTACGTTAGAGTTCGTACGTAAAACTCAAGGCGCGAACGCATCCCCTCAAGCAGCACACCCGACGTGTGGCCCACCACCGACTCCACCAGCACGTGGCGAGCACAAAATGTCTGACTGCCGCCTCTGGGAGCGCGCCGGAGGCGCCCCAGTCCCGCCCCTCCTCGGGCCCCCGCCGGCCGCCGCCCCGCACCCCGGCGGCGGCTCCAGGGCCATGGGACGGGGACACAAAGCTCGCGGGCTGCACCTGGCCGGCTTCCCATAAGTTCGCAACTTACTAACCACCGCCACCTGCGGGCGCGAACTGCGGCCTCCCGCAGGCCGGGCGGTCGGGGCTCCCTGGCCCTCGGCCCGGCAGCCGCTCACTCGCAGGGGCCGGGGCGCCCCGCCTGGAGGAAGCGGACGTGCGCGTCTCCTAGGCCGCCCGCACACGCGGTCTCGAGCACGTGCGTGGCAGAGGCGCCAAAGCCGGCGCGCCCGCCTGGGCAGCACCGGGCGGAGACGGCGGCCGTCGCCCTTTTAAGGAGGGGAGGGGGCCGGTGCGTGCCCGCGGGGAGGACTCGGCGGCGGCCGAGCGCGGTTCCCGGCGAAGCGCGCCGGAGGCGGCGGGCGGGCCCG